ATCTTAAATATTACTATACTTTATGCACCAGAGCTACAATCTGATCTCAACCTCCAGATTAGGTTATTTGTGAATAATAGGGAAGTAAAATATGGTTAATGTTCAGATAAACTACTCTTTAATGTGTTCCCATGAACACTTCAGTTGGTTGGTTTAGGAATGAACTATTGATTCATCTTTCTTAACGGTTTCACCAAATGTTGGCATTTTAGACCGAAATAAAATAGCTATTTTTGGTACTTTGTATTGCTTTCGCTTTTACCACTCAACATGATCGAGACTTACTGAAGCTATCAAAATCTAACCTCTTCTGGTTTTTTGCTAAAAGTTGTTACTAAAGTTTTAACGACAAACTAGAAAAAATGTCAGGATACTTCACAATGCAAGTTTCTCTAGAAATGCCCTGGTATGGCCGAGAGCAGGGTGGGCCCTCCCTCCCCTCGAAATGCTCTCACACGGCTACGCGTTTATAGCCTCTGCCAGGGAAGTCCTATTCACTGCCTTCTCGTGGCGGGGGTGTTGCTTACGAAAATGAGAGGACGAAAAGCGAGTGTTCAGCGCTTTAACTGGATCCCAAATCAATGTTGCACATGGGCTCCAGTATCCTGAACGAACAAATGGCGTATGAACCAATTTCTTGGTCACCGGCTACCATGGGACTGCATCTTCTTACGATGCTCCACTGCCTTGTGGGTCAGATCTTCAGGTCAAAGGCCCGGGGTGTGGCCCCCTTGGAAAACTACCTGCTTCGGTCTGGGCACCCGGGTAGTATTACAGCCCACACACAAATACGGTGAAATGTTGGTATTTATGGAAGATACTTTTCTTGATTCAATTAACAATCAAACGATTCACATTATCATTAATATTACTATTATTATTTACCATGTCATTTATTCACTTATTTACTCTCTTTTATTCCCACTTTATGTATCCTTATTCTTCGACTTATACAGCAGCTCGCCTATGGTGGAAATTCGGTTCTATCTAAACCTTCTCGAGTCACTGCCTGGTTGAAAATTGTATGCTTTGTGTGGCGCATATATATTTGGTGCCCTCTTGTAACAATATTTATGTGTTCAAATAAATAAATAGAATCTCTATAAATTTACCAGTAAATATCATCATTTTCATTTTAATTGCAACTTTTGTTGCCAGTAAGTATCGAACCGAGCTAGCTTCTAGGCTAGCTATCATTCCACCGAAAAGTATAGATGAAAATGGTGAGTAAAGGCACTTGTGCGTTCGCGAAACGTCCCGTTTACAAGCACTGGGTTTCTTCAGGCTCCTTACAACTCATTGAAGCCCGTCGGTCCACTCCGGGTGACCGTGAGTTTGACCACAAACGAAGGATGTTACGCACTGAAATTGGGCAAAGCTTGCGTAAGGACCGAGAAGCCTAGTGGTCGGAGCGTGCTAATGAGCTGGAAGCAGCAGCTGCATCTGGTAATTAACGGAAGCTCTTCCAACTCATTCGAGCAACTGGCAGCAAGAAGTCTGGTGTGAGCGAAACAATTTGCGAGGATGACGGAACGCCAATCACTAACATCCATCGACGTCTTGGACGATGGGCAGAATTTTTAGAAAGGCAGTTCAACTGGCCTGCTGCTCCGGCAACACCAGTCAGACTGTCCTGCCCTCCATGGCCGGTGACGACTGATCCACCAAATGAGGCGGAGATCCGCAAGGAACTCCAACTATTGAAACGCTACAAATCACCGGGCCCAGGTGACTTATCTCCAGCTCTTTTTAAAGTTGGTGGTGACTTTATGACTAAGGAACTGACGACGTTGTTCACAAAGGTCTGGGAACTAGAGAGTGTACCAACGTCATGGAATGAGTCGATAGTTGTCCCTATCTTTAAAAATGGTTCACGTCGTTCCTGTAACAACTATCGGGGGATAAGTCTACTTCCGATTGCGTCCAAGCTATTGGCTTCCGTCATACTTCGTAGGTTGTTCAAAACCCTAGAAGGATTGACTCGCGAGGAGCAGGCTGGGTTTCGTTCTGGTCGAGGATGTATTGATCATATCTTCACCCTCCGCCAAGTGTTAGAACACCGCCATACTTATCAAAGGCCAACAATCGTAGTGGTTCTTGACATCATGGTTGCCTTCGATTCGTTAGACAGAACTATTCTCTGGGATTGCCTATTGAAGAAGGGTGTGCCTGAGAAGCTTATTAACATCCTAAAGGCCCTATACACAAACACCTCAGGCAGAGTGAGGGCATACAACCACCTTTCTCCATTATTCCATTCGAGCAGTGGAGTTAGGCAGGGTTGCTCAATCTCACCATTCCTCTTCAACTTTGCCATCGATGACATTCTGGAAACAGCTCTGACGGATGTAAGTAATGGTGGTGTGGATCTGTCGCCTGGAGAAAGACTTCTCGACCCTGAGTATGCGGATGATATTGTCTTACTGTGCAATAATGCGCAAGCTATGCAATTCGCACTTAATCAGTTGGCAACCAATGTCCGTAGGTATGGAATGTGCTTTGCACCTTCAAAGTGCAAAGTAATTCTACAAGACCGGCAGAATTCTAATCCTGCACTCACTCTGGATGGTGAGCAGATAGAAGTAGTCGAGAAGTTCGTGTATCTGGGTAGCTGAATAAGTGCTGGTGGTGGCGTGAGTGATGAGACCAATGCACGTATAGTGAAAAGCAGAGAGGCTTATGCCAATCTGGGCCATTTTTGGCGCCTTCGTGATGTTAGTCTGGCTGTAAAAGGTCGGATCTACAACGCGTTGTTGAGAGCAGTTTTGTTCTATGCTTGTGAAATCTGGCCTCTCCAAGCTGAGGATATTAGACGACTCTATGTTCGATCATCGTTGTCTGCGAAAGATTGTTGACATCTAGTGGCAACACCATGTTAGTAATGCAGAGGTTCGGCATTGTGTGTTCGGGCACAGAGACGATAATGCAATTGGTGTCGCCATCTTGAAACACCGACTTCGGTGGCATTATTTGCCGACTCTGGGACTGGTTGGAAAACGTGGAGAGGTGGTTGGTGTATGACATGGTGTCGTGGTATGAAAGAAAGCTGCAAAGGGCTGGCTTCTGTTGGTCCTTCACGACTCCCTCGCTGGGGTCCGAGAGATGGTGCGACACAGTAGCTAGAGGCGTTATCAGATATGGCTCAGAATAGAAGCCAGTGGTGATCCTGCTGTAACCTTCTTTTACTTTCTTCATAAAAAGTGGCTATATCCTCCTCAAATGTAAGATTTCTTCTGAGTGTACCTTTTCGTTTCCTCCATTATTATTACTATTACACTACCTTACACTAATCTGTTCGTTATTGTTCTTTTTTACGCTCCTTAGCCTCCTTTCTTTTTTTCTTCCTTCTCTTTAAATTCTCATTGTTTCGTGTGGCGCATATATATATTTGGTGCCCTCTTGTACCAATATTTATGTGTTCAAATAAATAAATAATAAACAAACTACAAATTTACCAGGTGCTACACTACTTATTCTTTTCAGTATAACCCAAATATGATCTTCCTGCCTGCTGGGGCGAATAATTTGCTTTTACGAGAGCATAATGGATTTTCAAATATGAACCCTAGAAGAGACGTTTAGATCCAACTGATTTCTTCCAACGATGGTGTGTCAATATTTGGGTTGGTAATACAATAGTTAAACAGTTTTAATTTGTATGAATAAACGAAAAGGTATATTTGCAATAATTGGGCAGTGATATTTGTCCGGTGAGTAAGAATGTTAAAGTCTAAGTATCTTTGTGAATGGCTTAGTTCATCTATTTAAACATAAACATTGGTATGAGACACCAAAATGTATATGCGCCACACAAATCATTTGATTTTTGTGAGGGCTGGAATACTACACGGCGCCCAAACTTATTTGTACTATAAAGTAGGCTTCCACAATTACCATGTCTGATTACCTGAGTTTTAAAAGGAAGTAAGCTTTCAACATCACTCAGCTATCATTTGCTTAGGTTTTGGTCAATGTGATCTGCAATTATTACTGTCTTAAACCAATCGTGTGATCTAGGAAGTTTATCTCGGTTTTATATTTAATAGTTACTATCCTAACTGATAACATTTTTGTGAAAAATTTATGATAGCGGAGATTCAAGGTTTGGAACAAGCTTATGTAAACCCGAATAAGGAAATATCGTATACTAACAATCAGAACCCACATTTTCTCAGATACAAACTTCTCGAGAATTTTCAACAACTCATCACAAAAAGTGAATATAGACAAGGACTTCCGTCAGTTTTATAGAAACAACTTACATTCTTGATGGCGCGGAGTACATAATGTGCTAACAAACTTTAACCAGTAGCTGATTATTGAATAAAGCCATAAATAAATAAATTACACCAGAATTATGTAGCTGGTGTTTTATCATATAACAAGACGATATCGCCACCGTAATCAATTTCGAAAAATTTATTTGCAGTTGAGTAACGGATAACACTGCGTCGTTTGGGAAAATGGATAAAGTTGGTTATATATTTTCACTACCAGAAATGACAGTAGGGAGTCGGATTAGCTGGAACAGTTTTCAACAGTTGCAACTTGACGGTGTATCATACAATTTCTTCACTTTAGAAAGGAGTGAATACCATTTTAGTTACTCAAGCACAACGTGCAACCTGGTACATGTGCACACAGGTTTAAGTTGTTGTACCTCATTAGCACAACGAGATGACATCGTCAGGGTAAGTCCCAGAGTAGTTGAAGTATTAACAGTATTGGCAGTAATAGAAAAGATTGGGCATCAAGTATACCATTTCAGAATCTAAGGGAAGACAAAGAGTGAATCCACCTGGATCATTATGAACGATCTTAAGCCATGCCATTCAAAGTCTTCAACTAATGGTTATGATAATCACCCGAACCCCAACCAGGTATTCTACACCTGCCCATATGGCTCAGTTCAATACCAATGCCAATTAAAACACATGAACAAACATTTGAAAATTTGCAAGACACTAAATTGCTAATATGTAAAACAATATTCCCATTACCTGGCCAAAGTATGTACTCGCTCTGTATTACGTTGCATAGGTGTGATACGATTACGTAGAAGAGTAACGGCAGGCATTACTTCATTGGCTTCCAAATTTTCCAGAAACTGTTGTTCTAATATTAAAAATCGGACTTCTTCAACACTATTTAGATCCCCTATCATGGGTGCTAACTTGTCTATTGCGGCTTCAGCCTATTTGAATGATAAAGGGATAATTGGTGTAAAAGAATTTTTCGTACAGTTGCTTTTTTATAAGTCGAAATAATAACCAAACAGAAAAAGGCTGTGCCTTGCTCCTTTATTATCACTTATCACTTTAAACTGTGGAGACATCACTCAGCTACATGAATATTGGTAGTTAACTTTGGGAACTAATGAAGGGCAGTTTACAACACAATTTAACACTGTCGTGAATCTCTGCTATCAAGTTAATGAAGTATTTTACGACTATTCATCAATCCAGACAATTAGTTTGCTAGAATAAAACGAAAGCTTTTCAGTCAGCATCAAAAAACATTTGAAATTGCACAGAAACTTTAAGCCGAATTTGGTGATGAGTGTTATTGAAGGTCTCCGTAAAAGATGATGGTCAGTGCAATGCTTTGTTGTCTTAAACATCCAACGAAGATAGTTTTCCACGCACAAAATAATTACACAGCCTCAAATTTCTTGAGAATATAGCTTGATTTACTGAATGATACCCATAGTTATATCGATAGCAAACAAGTTTAAAAGCATTGGCTTTAAAACTAACAGAACTTGTTTAATTTTTCGGCATTACAAGTGTAGCTAGTAAGATCAGTGTGATTGAGATGTTAGGTCTGATCAGATCTACAACCAAACAGAACAATTGTTGTTGAACTGGGATGCTCATTATGAATACAATTATAGAGGTGAGGAATACAAGTGGCGTCACAAACTATACGTAAGTATCATGATTGTAATTTTTTAAAAAAAATCTCAGTCGATAATTGCTAGGTATAATTTTAGTTTTAATGCATTGTTTTAGAAAAATGTGGTGGTAACAAGCATCAAAAAGCCTAATTATCCGGTGTTTAATTAATGGTCCTCTAAATTCCCTTACAACAGATACTAAGTAGTCTCAATCACTAGTACATGGTGTAACAACTGTATTAAAGTACATGATCTAACTAAAGGAAGTTAAATTGAGACACGAAGTTGTAACTTTCTCCAGAAGCTCAACTAAAATATGCAAACGTGTTAACGCTGTTGTCAGTGATTTTAAACTAATGTACATTTATAGCATTCATTGCATGGGATACTGTGAGGATCACAACGGGCGACTCACATTGAAAGCGTAACTTTCGAATTAATATTCTGACTCTCCTAGATTTTCATCTCTCCTACCTTCGTCTCTCTCATCTCATGCTATTCTTAGACTGAGATACAAAAGAAATGCACGGTAAGTAAAGAGGAGTCTACTGAAAAATATGTTTTTCCAAAATGGAATGGACGATAAAATGCACCTGAAGTTTTGCACCTTATACCTACTAATCGCACTAAGTAGTTGTTTAAGGTTCGTACCAAATTTATTGTCGGGGTTACAAAAAACTACATCACTACAAATTTAAGTGGGAAGATAGAACGATGATAATCCTGATATATTCTCAATTTAATATAAGTAACTTGACTATTTGGGTTTCACCATTTATAAACTGTATCAAGCTACCAGAACAAAAGCCGAGTTTCGTAGGGAAACCGCGGGAGAATGACTTACATCAAGCCATCTACCTTCCAAAATAGCATGACGCAACTCTGTTGCATCGTTGTGTTCCAAGGTGATCCCAGACTCTCTGGAAAGCTGAGTATATGTGCCACTAAAGTGTGTTAACATATAATATATCATACTTAAATCCCTTGTCACAGAGATACTGGCCTATAAGGCGTAGCATTTCCTCATCACGAACTGAAAGACTCCTTGATCTGGTAATAATGAGGTCGTTTTTAATTGCGGCAACGCCATTGAACTGGCCATATAGAATATCACCATTTTGCTCCAGCATAACTTTAATCTATGGTGGACTACAGTGAGCCCTACTGATGAAATAGGATGTAAGATACACAGGCAAACTGTCGGTCAACAGCTGATCTGCAGTTCCTTTGTTAGTTTAAACGAGTGTCGAGTGTTCAATACCTAATTCCATTTGAAATTAGTTTAACACATAATGTAAGAATAAATATTAGGAATGTGTGCTTCTTAAGCTAACAAAAACTAATCTTGAAACATGATTCAAGTAATCCGACTACTTATGGATGCGAGACATAAAGGCTTGAGTTTGCACTGATAATAAATTTTGTATTGATCCAATATTGTCATGAATTGCTCTGTGTAAAATGCTGTCACTATGTACTTAACCTGAGTTTCACTCAGACATCTTGGTATTGTCAGTAGTCAGACAGCATTCTGCTGATCTCGAATTTCTGAATATTTTATATACCCTAGTAAGTTTTTCATTGTAAAGTATATGAAAGATAAATGGCTGCTTATTAGCTACGAATTTGTAATGAAATCATATATGGGTTTTCTAAAAGACTGCCGATATGCAGATCCAAAGGAACAGACATTTTGTAGTGGAAAAGTATGTCTCAGAAATAAACAATTCAAAAGTCTCCGATATGGATATGGAACCCGATAGCTTTACTGTACGCATTCTAGCTGAAGGCTCTGGGTACATTACTGCACCAGATCACGTTTGTGTACGCCGTGCTGTGCATACCTCACGACACCTAGTCAGCTTAGGTTATATACTTCTAAACACATTGACTTTCTTCCAAACAAAGCAATGAACTCCTTTATTCCTGGGTTCTGATTTGACTATGTTTAGAACACACTATAGCGGTAAATAATTCCCTAAGATAAAAAGCTGTGTAAGTTTTCGACATTGGATGCTGACCATATTATTTTCAATGGACTCGTCTAGCTGAATGCACTCGGTCATGCATCCGCACCAGATCAGGAGTGGGAACACCGTGCTCAGCAACCCGTGCAATCGCTAGCCAGATTAGATCAGACGATCCTCGATATATTAACAGCCTATCGTATATATCTTCGAACATTCTCGCTTCTTTCTATTGATTTCACTTGGTGGGTACGATTCATATTAGGTGCTACTGGTTAAAGCGTTGTCAATCTCCGAATACCTGTGGCATCTTCGCCACTATTATGAAAGTATTGCAGACAGCAGCTTTCTGAACCCCTAAAAATCCGTAATACCGTTTGTGTTGAGCGTCGATCTGGTACACAAAATGATAAATTCTTTGTCAGTACCTTGTTGCAGCATTCTGGACACATATTTACATATTGTGGCATTATTTTTGTGTTCCCTCGCATATACACATGTCGAAGTTTAGTCCTGCTTTGAGGACACTGACTCTAACAGACACACATGTGCAGACCCTCGCAACAGTGAAGGCGATGCCGCGCGAGTTCAAAAGGTACCTTACGCCTACTATGTTTATTGATCATACTTATGAACCTCACGACATTCTGCAAAGTCCACTTTCAAACATAGAATTGCAATAGAATTGCAACACAGTTCAACAACAGACATGCCGCCACCTATAGGAAGAGTCACTGGTCGACGAACTTTCGACGAGGGTCTCTTTAGATGCCCGGTCCATACTTTTAGCCAATACCAGATGACTACCCTTAATTACACAAAGTACTACCTTAACTACCGTATGTAGTCTACAGTGTTACACATCACAATACAACTACAGAACCACCTATATTTTTAAAGGCGCTCTGACTATCTCACGAAAAACCGAGATTGGTTGAAAACAAGTTCGATTACCTGATAGATATGAGAATAACATAGCGAACAAACAGCCCATGTGCACCCTCGTTGTATGTGGTCACTAAAATGAATGGTAATGATTAGTGTCCAACTAGAGACTACCAGAGACTTATTTTGAAGACTACTCCAGTTCGCTCTTTAACGCTGAACACCCATGATCTGAGAGTTACCTTGAAAGGTAGGACTATCTCTTCTGAAACCGACCTATTTAAAGAGTATAACTAAATCCTTATGTCAGGTAACGACATTCCTAAGACGAATACTACCACTCCCTGTAAACTCTACGAAACTTCGAGTATGGCTTTCAGTTCAAGAATTATTGCTTAAACTTTCCAATGATACATTGACAACGTATTTAAGGATTTTAACATTATGCTCTCATATTTCCATGACGTTCAACTGAGAATCTCGTTGCCAGCACCTGGACCTTGTTATACAACTAATCCCAAAACTTGGCATTAGTACAGGTATTTAGAGATGTTAGATTGGAACCGGCTTCGTCGATTTTCTCGACTATATTACACAGTTTACTTCAGATATAAACGTATTTCTGATGAGAACGATGCGGTCGCAGGCACCTAGTCTCGTATGATTTTCTTAGATGAATTCCGAAAGTTTGATCCACACAAATTTGCTCGGCTTCGAAAGTGGACACTGGTTTTCAGCATGAATTTTCCGGGTCAACCCGTAAAAGTCTGTTACGATAACTCCTCTTGAATTCGGTGTGGGTGCCCTTGAGGTTTGAGTGTGCACGGTAGTGATTGGGAAGTTCGAGAATCCACTATTCATTAGTATATTTTGGATAGATTGTACGATCATGATTTACTACTTCGGAAACGAGTTCCCTCGATATGTTTAATTTGTTGCTAAAAGAGTGGCACAAATGAAGGAGACGACCCACAATACTCAGTGGAGATACGTGCCTGAATTCAGTGGTTGTCAAAGAAATAGTTAGAGTAGGAGAAAGCTTTAGCTCTGGCAATAAGACTTCGAAAGTTTTACACCCAGATATCCGGTTTCATCCCAATTATACTATATCATTATACTCCTGGGAGACGCCTAGGCTTTACACAGGTTTTTTCAGCGTACGAACAAAGCAATAGATTCGCAAGGGTGGGGCGTTAGTGCGAACATTAAATAACAAATCTGAACTTCAGAAGGGTAAATGCTTCTATGGGGTGACAGATTACGGTGTCCATTGCAGAATGGAAATCAAAGAAAGGTGACCACTCATTCGAGCATGTGGACCATTTGTTGTTAGGGGGACTTTTTAGGATCAAATGACCTTCCTAATTAGTAATAATCATCACCTGGTGATGGAGTACATCGTGGTTTAAATGATTAGGCATTTCATCAACACATGCTCGATTTTGTTTTGAAAATCTGTCAAGTCTGCTGCAGCACTGCTCTATAATTTTATATTTTATACCGCGGCACCTCAATTTTGTGTTTGTGTTCGCTACAGGCCCTTGGTTTCTTCGAACTCCATGTTGCACTTAATTTTGATATGGTAAATGAACTAAGATTGCTGTGATAAGTTAAACCACATAACCAGGCTATTGAGACATCCTCCAGTAGTAGATTGTTTATCTATTGTATGTTCGTGTTTGTGTTATCTCTTGGTTTCGGCGAGACGAGTTCCTCCTTTACAGTAGACGGTATGGCATTTGACGAATCTAGTTGTGTCTATTACTAGTTGTTATTCGCATCCATATGTTCAAGTCCAGACTTGATAGCTGACGCGTATGTACCGCAACCAAACTCGTTTACGGATGGACTCCTGGAAATCCGGGAGAATCGGTGGATACTTCTTCCTCCTATTCCATTGATGTGTATCTCAATTCTCATACAAGCGGGCTTAGAAGAGCGATTCGTGCAGTCAAACTTGCTTCCTCTCTGCCGCATTTTGTTCCAACTCGCCTTATGAATTAGTACACACATTTCATATGTCCCTCAAAGTCGTATACAAGGGATTGTATAAATTTATTTACCATGAAGCTAAGCACTATACCACTATTAGAAATGGAACTAGAAATAACATCAGAACTGACCGGCTAAAAGCAGCTTACTTGGAGGAAGTCTATCCTCTGTCGACGTTATCATCAGAAGGTGGAACGACACATTACCTGTTTTTTCGATCCAGTCCCTGGTTGTTGACCACCACGCCTGAGCCCCGCTGACACCTGATAACAGGCCTAAAACGACACACCTCAGAGGAACGATGAGCTTCACAGAATATCTGAACGACTTCTGCTTGTCGTTTATTTTTTTAAGCTAGTCCCGTTTTAATCTCGTTCCTTGCGACCTACAGATAATTGGTTACATTTTCAATTTTGGTGCGTCAGAAATGCTTCAACAATACCAATTTTTTTGAAATTAGATTTTTTAACGCGCTAATGTATGTGCACATGTTTCCGAGGAAATCCTGAAAAGCATTTTAGTGATTTTTAGATTCCTCATGGTATATACACGTAAATATATATCAGTTTTTTCACACGATTTGCTTTCCTACATAATCATAAGTACACTTCAATGTAAAATTATTTTTTCTAGGACGATCGGGAAACTTGAAGAACCGAAGACGAATACAATGAATCAAACCTTCTACTGTACATTTAATTGTTATTATGTACCACATGACTCCTTAGTGTAGACAGACAAACATACGCTGCTGAACGTAGCAAACCATCAGAAGGGTGTTTATCGGGGGCAAGCTATGGTAATTAGAAGTATTTGAGTTATTGTACAAACTAGGAATCCACTGCATAGTGTAGTTTATGGCAAGTAGAACTAGATCAGTCATCAGATACAAAGGAATCATTAGTTCATACAAACACCACACGAGCTTAGTCGGTTTAAACTTTAGCTGGTCACATCTTAGTGTCATCACTACCCGACTGGGTAGAGAATGAGCTGCAGCGGTTAACAAATCCATAAAACAAAGTTGTAACAATAATAATTTATTTTCAAATGATAGTATGTTCTATAAGTCTTCAGTATTGATGTTGGTGTAGAGCACCAGCGTAGATGATCTCTTGTCGAAATGATTGGAAGCTTACTCGAGTTAGACGTGAGTGGTGTGACAAACTAGCTAACGTCAAAGTCACACTTCGCGGTCAGCACCTTACGTGGATTACCCCATTGACGTATCAAGGTACTATAGATGCTTTGAAGACTGTACAACACAGAGGACGTTATTACAGAAATATATTAGTTAAAGTAGATACAAGCGAAGGTAAGACCACTGCCGCATGGGCCAGTCCATGGCGTACGATTAACTGATGCGCGTTGGTGACCCTTGACATTGACGAGGATCGATGATTT